CCTTCACCCAGGAATCCAGCTGAAACCTCTCACAGTAGAGAATCAACAATCCAAGCACGCGTGTCAACTCCTGAAACCTCTCTGCATTCCCAGGTATACACCCGCAGTTTTCCCAGAATCTCACCAGAAACGCACTTACAGGGAAAATGGCATGTGCTCACAACCTCACGTAATCTTTCTGCTTCTGTCTTTACATTATGAAATTATAATCCACCCAAGGCATCTCTAGAGCCTCCTTATCATCTCACTTAATAAAGAGAAATAAAAAGGGAAAGTGATTTCCTAGCTAGTTTTGGAGATAAAACTTTAGAACCACAAACACACAAAAAAAGTATATATGCTAATTTAAGACAGTTAATTATGACCGTTTCTGCAAGAGCCAATTCCCACATTTGGGTGTGTCTTAGTTGTCTTTGAGTATCTTTCTTTTAACCCTTCTGCTCAAAGTCTGCATTAAGATTATCTTTGTTAAAACTCCTCAACTGGGCAGTGGTGGTGCATACCTTTAGTCCCAGCATACAGGAGGCAAAGGTAGTGGGTTTGAGGCCAGCCTGATCTACAGAGGAAGGGAGTTCCAGGACTCCAGGGCTACACAGAGAAACCCTGTCTTAAACCCCCCCAAAAGATAAATAAAAATAAGTAAATATAAAATAAAATAACGTAAAACCTTCTGTTTCAAAAATTCTAACAATTCTAATGATTAGAATTTTAGCAGTTCCAAGGATTGTTTCTTGAAATTATTTTCTGCCCCAAAGATACAAATTTCAGTTTGTTTTTGGTTAAAATTCCCTGAAAAAATGAAGGCTACCGACAATGATAACATGCTGTTTTTCTGTCCCCTCACCAATGATGGATATGACTCTCTGATGAGAAGTTTATAAAATGTAAGCATTCTAAGATTTATTTGTAAATAGATTATCTCCTGTCAGAGAAAAACGTTTCGATCACTAATGTGAATATGGTATCATTAATATTTGATAACGACTTTAATTCTTCTCTGAATGAAATACAGTTACAAAATCAATCTGCCTACAAACATCCTGAGTAAATAATAGATGTAGGAAGTTAGGAATTTTTATCCCATTATACATCTCAGATCTCATACTAATAAAGCTTTATCCTTCAGTTCACGTGAGAGACAGTACCATCCCACACCATAGAACTTATTTTATATTTACTTTTTCACGGCAGCTAACAGATTTTAGAAAAACATAGATTTGTTATTCTAGATTCCCTGTCACAGACACATCAAATTCTATTTGAAATTTGGCCCAACTGTGCTTTTATTCAACACCGAATTTCAATGATTTAGCAAGGTTTAGAACAGATAAACAGATATAAGAGCAAACTTTGTGTACCTCTCCAGCGCAAGAATATAATTACTCCATTTATGAGCTCAACTGTATCCAAGGGACATGGGCTTCTGAAGCCCTGAATTATGAAAGGAGTAAAGTGGTTTCCTGAATGAGGTGGAGAGATGTTACTTGTTTTCAGGGAGTCCAAGATGCCCAATTTCCATCTTCACCAAAGCGAAGTGTGTGAAGATTGTTACCTGTAGGAGCAAGGACAGTAGCTGGCATTTGCTAGCTACTGTTTGAGCTTCCCTCTGCAGTCTTCAGCTCACCCACTTTTCGCGGCAACGTTTCCATCATTATCACAAGTAGCACTCTGTCACGAGGACAAGCCAATTTCTTTCATGTAAATGGAGAACATGTTTGCTTTGAGATATTTCCATCAGTGTCAGTGACACCCCAGGAAAGCCTGCCCTGTCGCTTCCTAGCAGAAAAGGGAAACAAACCGTCATTTCCCACTCAGCTTGAATTCTTGGCCTACCACTCTTTCGACTCACTTGCTTTTGCCAAAAGAAGGATTGGTTCTACATCTCAGAGAAGTTGGCGCAAGAGATGAAGCCATGTCCCCGACTTGATGAGTTGGTTCTCCACTCAGCAGTCACTCACGTAAGCAAACCCTCAGGAGCCACAGGGCCGGGTGGAAAGGCAAAGTTCCTGGGTAAACTAAAGCACTCCTCCACAACTCACATTGGTATTCTTCTCCAGACCCCCTCCCTGGTCTCGACCTCCATATCTATAGAGTGATATGGTCGAGCTAGTTGTTCTCAAAGCCACTGCTTCAGAACCTAATTGATAAGGTTTGGTGTTTGAGACCAGACTGAGCGTAGCACAGAGAGACAGAGTACTCAGCGTATCCTTATCTGCCTGCTCTTCTTCATCTGCCTCCTGGTGTGGCTCCATCCACAGCTGTCAGTCGCGAGTTACCCAATGATAAATATCAACATTCTCTTACAAAGTGGAATCATCGGCAAACATTTCCCTTACACCCTAGAAAAGTCACCAAGTCAAGCCCAGCGACTGTGCTGGTGGTGGGAAAATTCAAAACGAACCAACAAACCCACCACCTCGGCAAGGTTTACAGCCTGAGACTTCTCTGACTACAATGGGCTTGAGCGTCCTGCACAGGCTGCAGTGGTGGAGAGGTAATGGGAGTTGTTGTGGCAACACGAAGTACTTTTTAAAGAGACTCTCTCCACTGGCTACTTTTATTTTTCCAGGAAACTGTTCAAATGTTCTGATCAACTGCTGCACCTCAGCTCTCTCCAGCCCTCCCTAAAGTACCAGAGCATCGCTTTTATCTGAAAAGCTTCTTGAACCTCCTCTGTAAGACTCAAAGATGCTTAAGTGAATGTTACAGGTATTCTGTGAATGCGCTAGCCACAGAAATCAATTGACACCTTGCATAGGGAAGTCTTGAGATTGATCTTTCCAGGAGAGAACCAATTTGTGACTTTAGGAGATGAATAGATACCAAGAATGTTGAAAAAATGTTGGAGCTTGAGGAAAAAAAATCACAGAGATGTGGAACTTGCTCATCTGTGCTACTACATTAGTAGTCTGCAGTACTAGATTAGGAGCTACTTCAGGGAAGCAGCATCTTAAATGATGATGATGTTCAGGAGTGGATAAAGGGGAAAATGACTGAGAAATGCTAGACAGATTCTCTAGTGGTCCCCAGCTTGAAAAGGAGCCTCTTCATCCACAAAGAGGAGGTGCTATAGAGTCTTGTGTTTAAATGTGGACCCCCGCTTTTTACAGGATAGGGGCATCCAGTAGACTTTCTTTTAAAGAAAAAACCTAAGCCTGGTGTGGTGGTGCATGCCTTTGATCTTAGCACTAGGCAGGCTTATCTCTGTGAGTTCAAAGCCAGTCTTGTCTAGAAAGCAAGATCCAGGACAGCAGGGCTATTACACAGAGAAACCCTGTCTCAAAGAAACAAAACAAAACAAAACAACGACAATCAAAAACACCTTGTATTAATTCTTCAAACATTCTATACAGTGATTTGTGACTCATTCTTACAGTACTTGAGAATTTTGACTTGTGGCAGGGAGTGTAGCTCAGCGGTGGGGCACTTGACAAGTGCATACAAAGCCAGAGATCAAACTCCACTACTTCATCAAAAAAGAATGGAAGAACCCTCAGAATTAATCTTGTTTGCTCAATACAGAAATTTAAACATCATCAAAGGTTTTATGCCTTTCTAAGCATTGAGGATCATAGCAAGACAAAAAGCCAAGTTCTGGCTTTTCCAAAGGCACAGAAGCTAAAAGCAAGGTGTGTGAAAAGGCAGCAAGCAGATCTTAAAGCATGTTCTCACAGAACACTTTGTCTGGAAATAATTTTGTGCCATTAAACAATCTTACTTCCAAACTATAATGGAAAAAGAGACCTTGCAAGTTGTCTTCTGATCTCCACACATGTGCTATACACAGACACACACACACACACACAAAGCAATAATAATAATATGTTTTCAAGTCTTACCCCCCAACTTAATGATTAAGTCTTTATGGGCAGAATCATAGATAGATAGATAGATAGATAGATAGATAGATAGATAGATAGATAGATAGATAGATAGATA